CAATCCTCTACCCTCCCAGCAAGTGTCCTAACCAGCAAGCTACCCAGTCAGGATTCCTCTTGTTTGCTTCCTTCTGGCCCAAATCTTGAGGTGAATACCTTATGCAAGGACCAACTCAGGCTAATAGCCCTCTCTGTCCCACCCATATCAATACCCCTGTGTTCCACTATTGTTTCCACAAAGACCCAGCCTCAAGAGAAGGGATGGATGCTGCCTTCACACTGCCTATGCTACAGCATATGGTAAGGGCAGTCTCCTGGAAAGTGAGAGTTAGGACCTTATCAGGTATTTCTAGATTCTCTGTAACTTCTTCCACTTTTGGGCAAGTTGTTCTCACCATTAAACTAGTATGTAAAAGATGGGTGGCAACACTACTGCCAATGGCATTTTAAAAGGTGAGCACTGCTCATCTGGATATGGACCCTCAAAAAAGGGTCTCTGCACTGGAACTTGAGTGGACAAAGTCACCTAATTTGCAGCCCCGGGGCCAAGTGTCTAAACTCCAGTTTCACCCAGCTGCCCCATGTGCCCAGCATTTCTACTGAATAGCTCTAGGCTACTCCCTGCTCAGCATGATATTTCTAACTTTCCCACTGACTCTATAAGGAGCCCATGTGCCTGGCTCCATTTTTGTGCAAAGTCCCCCTGGGGCCATATGTGTAGGTTTCCCTCGCTTTATGTTATACATGCGTTCCTGGAAAACGGTGCCTAACTCAAATTCGCATAAAAAGAACCCACTTTACAACGTAACAAATAGGAATACGTGCAAGACCTCGACTGTACTGACCCCCAGACCCATTTCCACCACTTTTACAAGACAATTTTGGTACTCACCAACAGCAGACAGTACACACAATCACAGGGTGATGGTGAATGTTACCATAATGGGGATGGCAACTACAGAAACGTGTCACAGATAACAAGCGAGGAGCACGGATCCACACAGGAGACTATATTATGGTGCATGTCACTCCCACAATGCCCCACACAAAGCAGCTGACTGCAAGCTTCTGCCACACTGATTACATAAGAGTGAATTTACCTCGCATATAACAAATTTTTGGTAAAAAAAGGGTCATTGCATAAGAGCTAATTCACACATACAGAACCTGCATAAAGCAAGGGAGACCTGTAATCAAAATATGTTGTTTTGTTAGTCCTGCAGTCATTAGCATTAAATGGACATCTCTTCAGATTCATAGAACTATATCTAGTTTTCTTGAGCATCTTGACAGTGCATCCAATGCTTATTTCCATACCTGAGTTAATGTTTTTAGCTACAGTTAAAAAACAGGTCTGCAGGGGTGTGAAATAGGAGCTTCGTTACCAGGAGCAGCTAAGGGAGAGCAGAAATGCAGGAGAAAGTCTAGTTTGACTAGCTGAACATCAAGACCTGTGACAAGGAGAGAGAGAAGCGTTTAGAAGGAATTGGATAGTTTATAATGAGCCCTGAAGTCAGTTGACCCTGTCACTGCTTCCTGAATAGAAATGCTGTCTCTGCCAGCCAGTTGGTTTTAACCTTTGGGTGGACCAGGAATCAAAGGCCAGTTCAGCTGCACCACTGGATCTGCCTCTTGGATCTGCCTCTGGGTTTGGGTGTAGGGGGGTTGCTATGGCAGAAGGTATTAGCCCCCTGGCTGGGAAGAAAAGATAGAGTTGTCATGCAGATGGTCTTGTTTAAGTGTGGCCAGGGCCTGGGACACAATGGGTCTTTAGAAAACACAAAGCACTTGGTATTTTTAAGTTTGAACATGCAAGTCATTTGCTTGTTTCTTTCTTTATTGTCTTTCCCTCAGCCTAGAGACCGACACCTGCTACTCTGCTTTACCTTATTTCTAGTCAGGCCTTTTCCTTTTTTTTGTTTGTTTGTTTTTCTGCCCTCGTGTACAAGAACAGTGTTTCAAAGTCTGAATTGCAGACTCTTCTGGGAAGTGTTTTAATGGGCGGGGGGAGGGTGGAAGGAAGGGCAAATGAAAACAACTCCCAGAATGCCCTTTACTCACACACACCCTTATGTCACTGTCACTGCTCTTCTGCTGGAGCTGAAGACAGAAGAATGCAAGAGGAGGAGACATGGGGGTGGAAGGGTGAGGCACTTCCCACTATTCTAGCACCCTGCCACTTATGGAGTGCCCAGGGCTTGGGGCTCACTCACCCACTCATCCTTATGCTACTGCTTCCTTTTGCTTGCCCTCATCTTGCTCCATGAATCCTGTACCGTGGCTCCGCAGTGGGACAGCTTCAAGTCCAAGCCCATAGCCTGGTAATTAGAACACCTGCCCTCAGAATAAGTCAAGCTCGAACCTCTTCAATGCTATTAAATGCTCAAGTTGTCACACCCACTAACAATGCCCACTTCCCTACAAGGAAATACCCCCCTCCTGCCAGAGGCCACAGTGATCCATGCCAGGATTAGGATCTTAGACCTAGAGACCCCATCTTGCTTCTTATTATTACAGCTTGTATCTAGACATAAAAACACTGCCTTGAGAAAGCTCGAGATACTATTACAAACAGCAGATCTTTAACACAGCTCACAGTAACTATCACTTAGGTTCACCTCTTGCTGCTTTGGCTGCTCATTGCAACTGAGAGTCCCTGCCCCAGTATTCAAAGCTGTCATTAGGACTGGCCTTTACTGCCTGAGAGAGGCTGCTGTCCAAAGACCATGGGCATGTGCAGACAAAACGGGGGCCTTAAATTGAAGCGCTGGGTTTTAAAAAACACTGCTTCAATTTAGGGCTGATTAAATCCTTGTGTTGTGCACACACCCTGCTGGCTTATCTGCCTCTCCGGCAGGGAGGGGAGGGTGAGCTGCTGGTGGGCAGAGGCTAGTACTTCCCTCCACATCAGCTACGGACACCCCCCCCCCCCCCCCCGGGGGGCACGCCCGCACCCCCCCCCCCCCCCCCACAGGTGGCACACGTCCGCAGGCACCTGGGACTGCAGCTGTGGAGGGAAGCACAGGGTCCCCACGCAGATCAGGTAGGCAGGCTCCAGGGGTGGGAAAATAAAAGATCAGGCTCATCACTTTTCTTGGGCCGAGCCTGCTTTCCGGCTGGTGTCAGGCTGTCTGCAGGGCTTCCTGCAGAGCCATGGAGCTGCACGGAGCCTGGTGCTTCGCTCCACGGCTGTAGGGGCAGCAAACTAAAACTCCTCAGAGGAGTTTTAATTTGCCGTGCCCCAAGTCATTTAAGGCACGTTACCCCAAATTTCCTACAGCAGCTGGAATTAATGCGCAATACGCTACCGAGGTGTGCAAACACTGACACCATTAAAATGGTGCAAAAGCTTTGAAGTGTCATGCACACATGCCTCTCATTTCATCTACAAACACCCCATGACAGCTACATTCTCCTAGAACATGGAAATTCTTGGCCAACAGAGAGAAGCTTATGACTGTGAAGGTCAGAATATGAACTATCCCAGAATGACCACAGCAATATTCAGAACTCCCTGCAAAACCTATTTGTGACATAGCTTTCCTTCAATACATACAGACAAACACTAAACTACTTGAGGTATTTCTCTTTCAGCCTGGGAAGGAAAGAGATTGTTATGGTTGTTTCTATTTTTACATACTTGGGAGGCACCCAGATGGTACAGTGAAGAGGACCATATAAGTACCTAACCGAAGGAGAGCAGAAAGGGTGTATATAGAATTTTCTTAACACTCAGCAAGTAAAACTACCAGTTCACCAAAGTTAGTTGTCTATTTATTTGCAGATCTGGTAAAGTTTTCCTACTACACGGGTCCAGAGTTCATACTGGAAGTTCTGGCCCAATTAACTATAGAAATAATGCTCCAGCTACGAAGTTTAGGTATCTAACTAGAGATCCACCACCTAAATGTGGATAGGAAAGTGCACTATAATGGAACTACTAGCAAATTTATTAAAACTTATTTTTAATGTTTTCATGTGCAACTACCAGCTGGGGCCAGGCTCCAACCAAGTCTGAATTTGGTCCCTACATAATACTAAAGAAGAGTACATACTGTACTGATTTGCATACTTAATACATTGGAGCCACAAGATAGTAAACGCAAAATGATAATAATGTTCAGGAAATGCTACTGTGAAACCCATTTCAGTTTTCACAACTCAGCCCAATTCTGATGGTTCTTTTGGGGCCTGTAATGGTTGAGTTATCTCTAACTTGCTTGCTCCTTCCAGGTCCACAGAAAGGTATAGCATCCCCAGGAGTCAAATTTGAAGCATCCCTTAGTACAACAAATCCAATCCCAGATTATTCTGAAGAAGATTCTCTGATCAGGTACCAGCAATTTTTCTTTCGCCATAGCGAGAAGGCCACCAAGGGAAAAAAGTCAATTGAATATTATACAACATATTATTTTTTCTAAATAATGCTGTATTTCAAATATCATCTCACTCTCTTGGACTAAATACAGATGGTCAAAAAACCCAAGGTTGAATTGATTCAATCTTCACAGGTTAGTCTAAACTGCATAGACTGAACCAATATGCAAGTGAACAGACATCCACTTTTGAATCCGGAAATATGGCTACATGCTGCAGTGGCCCAGGCCAGAAGCCAGGGATGGGGATACTAGAGCACACCTCCTTGCTATGTTGAAACAGACAGGTTGGGTCAAGGCTAGCCTCCCCACCCTGAGAGGTGAGGGAGTTGGGGGGAAGGTCGTGGGGAAGATGAAAAACATCCTGGGATGCTGGGGGACTGTGAGAGAATCTGGGACAGAAGTTCAATAAGCCAATTTAACCTAAATCAGTTAAGTCTGATACTACATCCATCTGGGTTTATCTTAAACTAGTTTCTGTGCAGTGAACTTCATGGGCTTCCTAATACGGGGGGCGGGGGGGTTAGGGGGCACCAGCAGCTGATCCCTGACCTGAAGGGGGGGGGGCGGGGGCAAAC